TAGAATTATCGTGTATCCCGCAACCTAATGGTAAATATGGCTACTGACACGCACGTTTTTTTTTCGCCACATTACAACAATTTCCCTAAAAGTATTTTTAAGATTACGTCACTTTTAATATCGCGGGTGTCATGGACATACATTATAGACAACCACAAATTAAGAAAATAAATGTAGGCCATACAAATATTTCTCCCGGCCCTGGAATCGAATCTGGGACCTCTGCGTGACAGACTAGCATGGTACCAGTTCGGCCACTGAGGCACTTTATTTTTTATATTAATTTATATTTTTTTGTGGAATAACTCAACTAGTTTTATTATGTTTATTAATACAAAGATCGAACATAGAAAAACCTTGTTCGACCATACTGCACCGTATTATTGCTCTAACCAACTGGGCTATGGGTCAAGTTATCGAGTCGTCGAAATTCTCCTATGAGTTTTTCTTAGTCTTTAGATTTTTAGATTTCAGATATTTAGATTTACAACGAATTTTTAAAAATAAATAAATGTTAGGTAACAGGTGAAAATGCTAAAAAAATTTCCACAAGTAGCACAAAAAATTAAGTTTTTAGTCAGCAAAAACTAAAACATTATTAATTGAAATGTAAACAATATAATATTATTTTACACATTGAGAACAAGTAGGTACAATTGCCAACACAGGGGAAAAAAGGAAAAGAAAATAAAGAAAAATATTGATCCCTATATAGCCCAACCAACAACACGCACATCTTAAAGACAGGAAACAAAATAATGAGAGATAGAATTATGTAAAGTATTGCTTAGTAAGCGTTCGTCGAATCAAGCCTACACTAGTACTGAACAGATCTATGTGAATAGACGATTGATTGTACTCCTTAATTGCTCTGATAAAAAATGAATTCTGATAATGTAATGAAAAGGGCAATCGTGAACTTCCGTAAACACGAATACCTCCGAGAACTTCGACTTTGAAAAATATAACATTTAGACGTTTAAAGTACTTACTTTAGCATTCCTAGAATACTCCAGGTACCAAAACTTGACATGTCTGAATCCAACAGTGACGAAGTAATTACCGCTCTCGGAGAAACTCACTGCCTTCACCCGAGATGAAACCTGAAAAACAAAGACAATATTTCAGAGACAGTACCTATTCTAAATGGCTTGAATAACTTACCCCCTGTTCATAAGGCATGTACTGCACGTTTTTTTGCAGTATAAAGATTAAGGGTCGTATTCTAGAACTCTACTCAATGCTCAAGTCAGGATTTGAGTATGGTTTAAAGCACTCGAAATCATACTCAAGTCCCTGCCATTAGGGTCGTATTTGCAGTGCTTGAAATCATACTCAGATCCTGACTTGAGCATTGAGAAGAGTTCTGGAATACGACCCATAGAGCCGTTCACACGGTGTTTGTCCTGCAAAAAAACGCACAGAGCTCTATACGTTTATCGAATACGCAACGGACTTGTCAGGCAAATCGAATGAACTTTAACGTATTCGGTGTGCAGTGGTGCATAGTATTGATGCATCTCTTTCACACGGCACGAAGTCATACGTTTTTTATCGAATAGTCACCGAACACCGAGCGCACAATTGTTATTGATAGCTGTAATGGAACAAAGGCCCGTTTTTTTCATCATTTCTCATATTTTCGTACCATTTTTCAAATGTATGTACGCACTGCTTCTTGATTCATTGGTTGAACCCAATACCTTCTGTTCTTCGGGCGGCAAACCCGTTGGCGTCTGCTATGCCAATATAAAAGTGCAACAAACGTCGATCCATTACAGACGTGTTCTCAGGGCGATTGCTGTGTGTACTGCGGCTATCCGTCTTTTAAACGCATGAAAATATACCGTGTGAACACTTCGCTGTGTATCCGCTTATGATCGAATAAGTTAAAAAACGTGTAGGACAATGCTGTGTAAACGAAGGCTTTAGGGTCTAAATACAAAACTGCTCATTCCTGCTATGGTAATATTCTGTGATGTGTGAATCTGCAGTGCGATGCCTAGCAAAAAACGTGCAGGACTATGCCATATGAACTAAGGTTTACAGTACAATTCAAATATAGGTTTTCTTTATGCACAGAACATAAATGGTTAGTTAGTACAAAAACAATTATTTCAAATTACCAATGTCACAATCACAAATATAACAATAAAGCATAATCTGATCGTCACTAATATACATATTAATTTAATATAAAACAAATAATTATACCAGAAATATTTAGCAAGTGAGCCATACTGTACCTTATTGCTAGCGAGTTTGAGGTTGGCACGCCAGTCCCACACATTGACAATCATGTCATGCTGCGAACCGACCGAGACTAGATACTTGGATGTTGTTGAGAACGCCTGCGAAAGCACAAGATGTACAATTTAAAAGAATATGTCGTTTAAATACAATATTTGGTACAAAACAAGACACGGGGGGCAAGACGTAGGCTTGGATTTCACCCCTATGCTTCCACATTTATATAGCGAACGGCCATGGAGTGGAATGCCCTGCCTGCAGACTTGTTCCCTGAATGTTTTTACTTGGACCTTTTCAATGCGAGAGTGATTAGATTCTTTAGGTGTGCATGCTCCATCGTCGACCTCATCGCCACTTTCCATCAGGTGATATGGAGGTCAATAGCGCACTTAGATTTTTATATAAAAAAGTCGCGTCAAAAAAGCTTTTCACGCATGAAATTAATTAAAATAACACGAATTACATAAAATAAATTATGTATAATTTATAACTCCCTTATTTAACATTGAAAGTTATCAATTAAGAGGGAGCATGCCAAAAAAGTTTTGACGTTGGCTCCGCCCACATTTGTGAAACAAATATATGCCTGAAGTTCGCGTGATATGCGACAGGAGATGTTGAATTTTTCGCATTAAAAATACCAAATTCGTTTTAGCGGAATAACTCTAAAACTAAAGGGATTTAAAAAAATCCGTAGTGACAGTTCTCGATCATGCATAAATATTAATTATCTAATTTTTGTCCTAATAACCTGTAGCATTTCGAGAATGAATCGAAAAAAATGTGAAAATTAGAGGTCATTTCGTGATTTTTATCTATCGAGGAAACTTTATTGTTTTATGTTTCTGATTAATGTCTATGCTTGAATATATCGTGTAGTTACTCATACAATATTTTATTTTTAACTTTAAAGTGGATATACCTCTCTAAAATCTGCTCCCTTTTAATTTTATTTCGCAGATGTGGATTTGTCACACCAAAGGTGCGATTTTTTTTTAAATACTTGTGGTGTTAAGTTTTAACAAAGTTTAATATCACAACATTGAAACCAATGCCGTCATAAAATGAAAATCTCGACTGTTTTAATCAAAACTTATTTTGAGGAAGTTAAACAGACATTTCCTAAAATTAGACTATTGTTTAGAATTGATGTCTATACATATTTGGTATACTATAAATGTATAAGAGCTCGTCAAGTATGACACTTATATCCAAATATTGCTCTGTATTACAACTATGGTATAATAAAGCAAGTAGTGGAACTCCATGAGTATTGCATTTGACAAAGGTTATTTCAATATAGCACGAAAACAATGTGATTAGAAGGTACCTTTTTTTTCCAAAATTTGCAATTTGTTAATGCAACTAAAATAATAATGTAACAAACCCATCGAGTATGGAATGTGATTCCGTTTGTTTTGTAATTAGATGTTTTGCTGTTTTTCCTACACCACCGAATAGAACAGCACGGCATTGTTAGAGATATTATCTTTATTACAATAAATACAGAATATTTTTTAGAATATACGGAGACGTACAGTAGTTGGCCTGTCTATATTTCAGTGCAAACGGGAGTTGATATTTATAATAGCTAATGTGTTACCAGGAATATATGGCCCTTATTTCGTCTCTATTTCGGGTTATATACTCGATGTAACAATCCTACACTCCGAGTTAAGGGGATAATATTATTTGATCCTCAAAAGTATAATTGATCTATTGTAAATGTGCACTTGTTTAAATAAACGATATTTTTTTGTTTGATATACATATAAACTATCTCCGTGGCCGAACGATTACCATGCCCGAGAGGTCCCAGGTTCAATTCCCGGGCCGGAAGAAATATTTATGTGGCCTAGATTTATTTCTCTAGGAGTTTGGGTGTAATTTGTGATTGTCTATGTGTGTGTCCATGACACCCGCGACACAGGGTTTCCCTAGTGTGGGGCAATGTTGAGTGTGTGCGTTATTTAAAAAGAATAAAGATATTAGTTGACCTACAGTTAAATTATAAATCAAGTGCATTCAAGGTAGTGTTACCTTTATTATTACCTACGTTTAAGCATATTAAATTAATATTTGGTGTTCAAAAATAATACTTGATCTTCTTTTTTTTATCGTTGGTATTTCCTTTTGACGACTGATGACATTTATAACCAGTATATCTTTTGATATTAATCTCTTATAAATCTTGGTTCTTTGATTGCGCCCTCCATTCAGTAGGTTAGGTTTAGGTTATTATATGAAAAGGCAGAAGTCAATTTGCTTGCATTTCCGATCATGTTTTCAGGACGAATTATATTATAATTAATATAATATCACAAATATAGTAAATATTTACATAGTTTTGATAATTATATAAGTATCCAAATTTTATTTTTAATAGTAATTTATCTTAGATTTGAGACCCAACGTAAAACTATGAAAATTCATTTATACAAATAAAAATTTGTTTGCGTAGCTTAGGACAGAGTAAAATATCCATTGATTTAATTTTGTTTTATATCTCAGAAAAAGAGGATCAATCATTAAAAAAGATGGCCGTTTAGATATTTTCGCCTGCATCTTTTGCAAATTTAAAATGACCATTAAAATGTTCTAGAATACATAACATTCAAGTATAGTGTACTCGAATATATAAATAATAAAAATTGCCACTGAAATTAGGTATAGAAAACGAACCTGAAAATTACCTGCATTCTTGTGACACTTGCACGAGTACGTGCTAGTTGTTTTCATAACAATAGTAATGAACCACAAAGCAACACACAACAGTGAACAAAAATATGAAAATATAAACATACTTACCACACAACTAACTCCGTGCGTGTGGCCAGGAAATTCTCCTATTTGCACGGCCCCCGACGCCGTCGGGTCCTATTAGTAATAAAACACAATTTTAATTAATTAACTACACAAAAAAGTCGTTAAAATTTGGATTATACGTTTTGTAGTTCCGCTATACGACGCTAGGTAGCGCTAATAGTTGCGTCAATGTTTTTTTTTTATGACAAACCTTTTAAGACTTATCAAATTATTCAATAAAAGATTATTTTTCATAGTTAGCAAAAAATATCTAATGTTTATTATTTTATCCAACAGAAGTGACTTAAAATAACATCATTCAGGTTTTAAATGTATGCATTTTTCAGTATTTCTATTTGACACTAGATGGCGCTACATGTATAGTTCAAACTTTGAGATGACACATTTTTGTGTAAAATGGACTGTGAAACAGACCATTATTTTTTATGATTTGCTTGCAGCAAAGACTAAATATTTAATAATCGGTTACTTTTGCTTTAGACGTGTCGAATAAATATTTCAAATCATAAATTTCTCTCACCTGCAAGTCCCAAACTCTAACCGCCGGCGCATGTCCACACTCCCCCGTGGCCAAGTACCTTCCATCGGGAGAGAACGCCACACAAGTGACGCTCTTACGCGATGTATTTAGTACATGAGTTTGACGATTCTTGCGCACGTTGTAAAGGACTACAGTACACCTGAAATGGGAGATAAAAAATTTGGTATTATTTATAAACTACCTCAAACATAGTCAATGGATTTGTCATAATGTTAATGTATGGATAGTTTTCTTTTTAAAAAAAAAAAAAGTTTTCTAGAATTTATTAATATCAAGAGACGAGACGAACAAGCCTGATGGCAAGCAACATGACTATAACAGTTGCAGTGCCACTCAAAGCTTTAAATCGCTCTGTGGGGCACTACGACTGCGCCCGTCACCTTGAGACATAAATTAAGAGGGAGCAGAGGAAAAATTCCTAATCTTCGATTTGATTTTAGAGGGGTATATCCACTTTAAAGTTAAAAATAAAATATTGTATGAGTAACTACACGATATATTCAAGCATAGACACTAATCAGAAACATAAAACAATAAAGTTTCCTCGATAGATAAAAATCACGAAATGACCTCTAATTTCCACATTTTTTCGATTCATGCTCGAAATGCTACAGGTTATTAGGACAAAAATTAGATAATTAATTATGTATATTTATGCATGATCGAGAACTGTTACTACGGATTTTTTTGAATCCCTTTAGTTTTAGAGTTATTCCGCTAAAACGAATTTGGTACTTTTAATGCGCAAAACTCAACATCTCCTGTCGCATGACACGCGAACTTCGGGCATATATTTGTCTCACAAATGTGGGCGGAGCCAACGTCAAAACTTTTTTTGCATGCTCCCTCTTAACAAGTCACGCAGGCACGTGCCTGTAGTTACCACACACCCTTAACCCTTTAAAACTACTACTACTTCCCTGGACGAACCTCTTCACAAAGAATTATAGTAGCAGTAGAGCTCCTCGTGAAACAGTTCGCCCAAGCAGTGATGTGAGCATTACTGCGTTCCGGTTTCGAAGGGTAAAGGTGCTGGTGAAATTACAGGCATATGGGACTTTTCACTTATGTCTCAAGGTAAGCTGGTAAAGGGCGCAGTGTCAGTGCCCTTCAGATATTTGCGATTTCAAGCTCTGAGTGGCACTGCAACTGTTAAGGACAGGAGTGTAGCTTATCAACACGACTTCGTCGTCCCGTCACTTGATATTATAAAAAAAAACTTTTTTATATAAAAAAAACTATATATGCCAAGTTTTATTGAAAAATTTACTGCCACCTTACCTATTTCTGATTATGATTTGTAAGGGTACTGGTGCAAGGCACATAGACCTTGTCAATTTATGTCTCAGGGTGACGGGCATAGTGGCAGTGCCTCTAAGATCTTCGCGATTTAAATCTTCTGAGTAGCACTGCAACTGTTATGGATAGGCGTGTCGCTCGCCACCAGGTGCACGACTTGTTAGTCCCGTCGCTTGGTATTGTAAAAAAAAACTTCTAGTGCTACTAAAAGATCCCTATTATTACCCCATGAGCTCGACATAAATACGATATGTACTAGGCCAGGTACAACGCAACCTTACACATATACATCCCCACACAGGTCTCCTTTAAAGGCAAAAACAGCTGTAAAATGACGTATTCATACTCATTTTTGTACTAAACCCATAAATTATTATCATTAGGTTTCCTTCAATTTCGCTTTAAGTACGTAATGTATGTAAACAATTTTCCATGGTGTATGTATGTCTATCTGTCTTTAACACTGTACGACCGTGAGAAAGGCCGACAGTATGTTCGTGGCTTACATATAGATAGGGTGAAGGGGAGGACCTGGTTACGAGCGGAGAGAATAGCGGAAATAATCGCGAAGGTCTGAAATGCTGCACTTAATTGCCTGTACAAAAAGTACAGCTGCTATTTAATCTGAAACCAGTGCGTGTCTCTAGCACAGACATTGTAACACGGCACCGGGCAGGCCGTGGCCGATAAAATAAAAAAAATAATAAAAAAGATAGAACAGGAAGCCGCCGCATGCGTAGGAAATTTAATTTCAATATATTTTTTTATTTTCTGGAAATCATTTTTATTTATTCACTGGGCCTAGTGTGCATAATCTTACGACTGGAAGATTTAAATTAAATTTTTATGCCTATTTGAATACAGAATTTCCTTAAATTATTTCGGTTATCCCGCTAGATGGCGTCACCCATATTTTGAATTGATTTCTAAAGTGCTATAATAGCACTTTTAGTGAGGCGACAGTAAGTTGAACAGAGGACGGATTCCGTAATAGCACAGCACGCACTCTGTTATGCTCATTATTTATTAAAATGTAATGTTTCTGAGTGTTCGATCTTTGTATTAATGATTATAACAGACTAGTGGAATAATTTCACAAAAAATAATTGAATATCAATTCAGTAAAAATTTAAAATAAATTAGGCATGTTGTGCTTTTCATATGTGTTAGAGAGATTACACACAGCTACGTTTATATATTTATTAATTTCAGTTTTATATTTGCAATTAACAAAGCAAAATAATGTACATAAACCTATACAGATTTTTCGTACATAATTATTCAACATAAGCAAGCGACTGTATCGACGCAGTCGCGCGTTTGCATCGATGCAATCGCCTATAAATGGCAAGTGTGGCGATGCAATCGCTTTTGCATAGCAGCTTAAAATCGCCGTGTGCAACCACTTTCAAGGTCAATGGTGTTAATTATTGAGTTGTGGTCGTCTTAAAGTATTATATATTGCAGTTATACATATAGTGTGCGTGTACTGTGTTGTGATTTTTACGGCATGCATGATCTTTCTATTCTACAAATAAACTGCACTTTGCAGTTGTATTAAAGCGCATCAAGTATAGTATTTCTCAATATACGTATGTAAACTATACAAACGGTAAATCTAATGTTTATCTAATGTTTATTTAACGTTTCTTTAATGGTTTTCGTTTGGGTGTTCAGGATACCTTTGAGGAGCCCTTGGAATGTACTCTGGTGTTCAAAGTATGTCCAGAGTTGACTAGTTAAATATCAGGCAACTGAAGTAATGGTGTGAGACAAAAATAGAAAACAAAAAAGTTAGTATACAAAGAAACGAACAAACTATGACAGAGCGACCGCAATGTCAACTTCATACTTGAAATAGTTGACACAGTAATAGCGATTCCACAACCGGAAGCGATACGCTCCTCCTGTCAATATATCCTCAATCCTTCCCCATCCGCTAACTAGTCAATATTCACCTACGCAGCACATCGGTATTTGTTTTTATTTTTAAGTATGCAGACAATGTACCGAGAACGTCGCTGTATGTACCGACCTACAAATATCCCACTGCTGGACATATATCTATTAAATGTATCTAAAAACGTTATCGCGACGTATGTTTGCGTAGAATTATACAGAGAAGAAACAATGGATGTCTCTTTCTTCGAGTCATGACCGTTTCAAAGTTAGTCTGAAGTTCAGCGTCAAATCGTATACAATGTTGAAACTCATCACTCTATGGGTCGTATTCCAGAACTCTACTCAATGCTCAAGTCAGGACTTGAGTATTATTTCAAGCACTGGAAATACGACCCTAATGGCAAGGACTTGAGTAGCGTTCTGGAATACGACCTTTAGTATCAGTTGTGTCGGGACTCTATCAAGTTAAACCGGTTATGGGGACTGGTCCCTGATTAAATACACGGGCAAATTGTGTGCGCAACATTGTCAAAAGTTTCAACTGATTCGGCTCGCAATTTGTTTATATAGTAACACTGTTAAAAGTTTGGCTGATAACTAAATTATCAATCACACCGAGATGTCTTTCACTGTGCGTGGTAGGCCTGCTGGTAAAGTCAAGTATTCAGCATAACGCATTGTCTGGCCGCAACGACGCGACAGACCGACAAACAATGGAACGTTATATCATTTTTATGCCGTATCCATGAACACTTGACCTTAATGTAATACTGGAAGAACAAATATATATCCCGATACCGAGCAGGGATTACCGAAAGGGTTTAGGCGTAAGATCATCTTGCTGGTAAAGGACATACACTATAAACAATCTGACCCGGTTAAGACTCGATAATACCCGAATTAAAATTTTCCCGTTTTGGGCAAAATTAGCTTAAATAAAGGCAGGGCTCCGTAACTCGCTCAAGGTTATGCGATAAGTGCCTACCGCTGAGTGTACCGACGTCGGCACAAGCGCAAGTATTTCATTTATGAGCATTCGGCTCCGCAGGATTGCACACGGCGGGTGTCATTATTTTAACATGTCTGAGCGCGTGCTTAGGTTACTATTTCCTCGTAATGAATGCCTGGTGTCTTTAGATTTAGTAGGCTATTTTCGTAGGTATTTTTGATTTTGTATGAGAGTGATGTATCTGTTACGTAGTAACTATTAAGTAAACTGTGATTAAGGTTAAATTAGCCTTCAAATTAAAAAAAGGCTCTTTGACATCAATCTATCCATTTTAGAGCTACGACGCCATAGAAAGACAGAAAACAGAAACACAGACAAAAGCTTCAAATGTGTAAGTCCTCTCTATTTGCGTTGGGGGTTAAAAATTAATATATTTACATTTCGCCACAACCTCAAGGGACGAAAAGTGACTATGTGCTGAGCAAACATATCCTATCCAGAGGACACGACCATCGAAACTAAAAAAATACCAGTTTTATAAAAATAAAATTTTACAGTAGCAGTACAACTCCACGTGGAAGAGTTCGTCCAGGGAAATACTGCCACCTTAGCTATTTCTGCCGCCAAGCAGTAATGTCAGTATTATTGCGTTCCGGTTTTGGAAGGGTAAGAGTGCTGTTGAAATCACAGGCCCATGGCTCTTGTCAACTTAAGTCTCAGGGTGGGACTGCATTGCTATGGACAGGCGTATCGTTGAACACTTTAAAAAAATCTGTCTAGGGTACTAGGCTCCGAATTGTAATTACCGATAACCACAATAGATCAATCAAGTGATATAGGAATCTACAAGACCCTGAATAAGCCAGCCTAATAATAATAAACTGTACAGTCGGCCGTGACCTCCCTGAGATCCCATTACCCGTGAAGAGCTCGAAACGTTGGTTTGTTTAAAAAACAAACTTGGACTTGGAGTGAAAACCTCAGCGACG